GTACAGGAAGTAACTTCATCGCACACTGACCCTCGCTCAGCAGGCGCTCACGCTTCATACTATCACAGAGCCAACGATCAGGTAACCGTGGTGACTTTTACTCCATCTGTTTGACCCACTCAGGTGAAAAGAAGAAGTTGTGTTTAAATCTGTGTGCTGCTCTCCAACAGCTGCAGCTCGGTGTGGAATACGAGGCGAGCACCCGCATGCAGGACACCAGCGTGTCGTTGGCCTACCAGCTAGACGTGCCTAAAGCCAATTTACTGTTTAAAGGTACGACATCTTTATAACCTTGTACAGACGTTACCACGGTGATTTACCCGCACATGGAGATGTAAAAGACTTATTTACTAGCGAACTTAGAGCGGACTTATTACCCCCCTTCTCCACCTTTTCAAACAGTCCCCTGTGGTCTAAATGAAACATCTGTGCTGTGCTTTGGTCAAAATATAACATGAATCAAGCACCAGAGGAGGTTTGTGACCCTGTATAAACCAGCTCTCTCAGAACGCTCCGTTTAGGTGTGTGTGTCTCTTTAAATGCAATGAGCGCCCCCCCCTGAGTTTTCCCGGTAGACATCACTCCTCTGTAGCGAGAATAAAAATGGGCAAAAGTTTTGTTCTAGGCTGGGGGTGGAGTCCATGGGTGGAGATACAGGGGAGGGGAGGGGATTTTTTTTTTTTTTTTTACCAGAATCCCACTGTGACATCACAAGGAAAGCAAATTTGAAACAGAGCATTTTCGTCTGTGTTGTAAGACTTATGCAGACCACAAACAAAGGACTGGATTGGTTTATTTCACATTTTGTGGGTCCCTAGAGTGAGTAGATCCTCAGGTAACCTAAATATATGTTCAACAACACTGTACAAGTGGATTTTTCACAATATGTCCCCTTTAAATATTCAAAGAGATGTATTGCGTTAGAATTTTTTTTTTTAAGTCTTGTAAAACGGATGCATTTTTTTAAATTTGAGTCTGCCGGTATCCCTTTTGTAATTTGACTACTTGTCTTTATCTGTGTCCTGCTCCTCTCAGGTTCTGTAGACAGTAACTGGGTTGTCGGTGCCACTTTAGAAAAGAAGCTGCTCCCGCTGCCGCTCTCTCTGGTCCTCTGCACCTTCCTCAACCACCGCAAGAACAAGTTCCAGTGCGGCTTTGGCGTCACAATCGGTTAGACGGACCGAGCGGCGGGTTTGTTCCCCCACGGATAGACTCACTACGGACGAGCAGACTATGCCATGTTACACCACCGTGTGTCCCGTCACCTCCATCTGGACATTTTTCATGTTTGAGTTTGATCTCACGTGCTGAATAGAAAGTTATCAATATACTCTAACGCATATAATCCTAAAATATGAATGACCTAATTGATCAGAAGTGTAACACATAATGTGATTGGTCAGGGTTTTGTTGACTGTGGACTCTCGACGAATAGAAAAAAAACTGAGCTCTTTGTTTCCGTCACTGACTTCTGTGCCTGTTGTTCCAGATTTGATTTTTTACATGTCGTTTTTTTTTTACTGTAAGTGTCTGTGTGCAGTGGATGATACTGTCGTCAATATTTTTTTTTGTTACAGACAAGTTTACCAGGACTGAGTGTACTGTACTGCATGTCACGTTCACAAACCATCACTTGTTTTGTTGCCTTTTTGTTTACGTTACATACATATGAAACAGTATATATATGACCTGTATATACCTCTTGGAAACTGATAATACATTTCTTACAAAACAAACTTGACTTGTGCTCGTTTCCTCCAACTAATCACGGTTCCTGCTTTTGTGTGCATACCTATAACTTCCATAACAGGGCTCTTCTCTTTACAGAAATAAGTATTTCTAGTTTATAACCACTGCTCCCAGATTCTGTCTCAAAAGGAGAGTATATAAAATCAACCGCAAGACTGCAAAACAGTCTGGGGACTCACACACAAACTGATGGTATGAGCTGACATTGAACAGAAGCAGGGCGCTGCCAGGGGTGGCATGGGTCCGAATCTTATTGGACCAAGGTGCCGCCCAAATCCTCCAGACTAGGATTGGCTATTTGCCTTGCCACTTTTCAGGCTGTGTTGCAACAGGCAGCTTTCAGTGTGCAGATGTTTGTTTGCAGTTTTTTTTAAATGCTTTAAATTGTGACTTTGGACCTATTGTTTGGAGTCCTTGAAGAATTTAGCTTAAAAGATGTATGCTACTACTACTTTGTTACCTTAAAGACCATGTGATTAGTGCAGTCAGAAGGGTAAAGAAATGCTCTTCATTCAGCTTAGTGATCACAAGCTTCAGGCCACCCCTACACAAGTCAGTTCCCCAGTTGGGCCACCCTAGTCCAAAAAGTGTGAACACACCCCTGACCAAGAGAAGACAATCAGAGCACGAGGGAGTCATAATAATTATACCTGGGTGTGACGCCTGTGTTGGAACCGCTGGATGTTCGGGCACCAGCCTGACGTGCAGAAAGAAAGACTGAGCTAAGAGATGCTACCTCCACCTAATATTGGATCAATCTTAAAACAGGCAAACAGGTGGAGTTGAAGCGGGTGCTCATGCATTTTACAATTCACTTAGCAGACGCTTTTATCCAAAGCGACGTACATCAGATGTGGTACCAGAAGCCAAAGTGGGTGCCCCACCTTAAAGCCTTAACCCTAATGACCTTAAGCCTCTTGGGAAACCCCCCTACAACTTAACCTTAAGCAACCCTAAGTATGCTTTACTCTTGGCCTTATTATAATCAAAACAGATGACGTATAACAAAACCTTCCCCTTACAGTGTTGACCAATAAAGAAATGAACTATAGAGACCCGAACTGATTTTATTACCTGGCTGTAAACACGATTATATCTGCTGTAAAAAATTGATGGGCTCACTTTGTTTTTTGATCAGTTGACACTCAAAAAACTGCAGTTTTTCCAGATTGGCTTCATTCTTCAACGCAGAAGATTGCTGCCTAACACATCCCTATTGCAATTTTAAAATCTCTGTTATCCCTCCATTAAGTTGTGTATATGAAATGTCACATTGAATACACATACTGTCTTTTAAGAAGGAGCCAAGCTATCAAGTTTTGTTCAAAGTTGATAAAATATTCCCCCCAAAATGTTGGAGACCAAAGACTGCAGTAGTGTTGGTTTCTGTGTTAGTGGTTGCTTGTTGTCTCACACTGCTTTGAAAAGTTTGCGTAAGTCTTCCACACACATTAAGACGCCAACAGACTGAATATGTTCTTCTTTTTTATTTAATAAATTAACATTGGGTAGAATTAGAATAAATATCTGGTGGTGTGGAGGCTGATGGAGCAGTTACTGGGTGCTCTTGATGAAAGACTCCCACAGAGCGGTCAGCTGAGCCTGCATGTCCTGAGCGCTGGCGTCCAGCTTGGCCCTCAGCTCCTCCATCTCCTGGGTCTTCTGGGCGAGCTGGGTCTCGAAGGTCTGGGCCAGGGGCATCATGCTCCTCTGGAACTGGTCCATGCTCTGCTCCACCTTCTCCTTCATCTCCTCGGTGATGGGGACCATCTGGGCCTGCAGCTGGCTCACGCTCTTATCCACCTGTACCTTCAGCTCCTGGCTCTTCTGCAGCAGCAAGGATTTCAGGGACTCGGGGTCCATGGACTCGGTGTAAGGGGCGGCCTCCATCTTCAGCTCCTCCACCTGCTTCTGGATGCGGGCCATCAAGTCCTCGGCGTAGGGCCGGAGGGTGCTGGTCCCGGTGGAAAGGTCACTCTCCAGCTGGGCCCTGAACTGCTCGGCCTCCTTGGTGAACTGGGTCATGAAGTTTTGGGTCAGAGGAGCCACCTGAGACTTCAGAGCGACGACGTACTGGTTCACTGCGTCAGCGCTCTGAGAGATCCTGTCACTAAAAGACAGAATAAAAAAATCAGTTATTAACTAGAATCCCTTAACATAATTCTTATTTGTTGCTTTTAGGTCAGCTCTCTTACTTGACTTCTTGACCCAGCTCAGACGCTCTGATCTGCCTCAGGTTGTCCTCGGCGGTCATGGTCACCTTGGACACATACTCCCAGAAAGCATCCTTCACCATGTCCAGGTTGTTCTTGGGCTGCTCGGCCCACAGGATGTTTGCATTGCAAACTGTGAATAAATAACAGCAGGATTAGCACAGAGGTTTGTGTAAATGTATTCACGAGTCGTTGTTCATGCTGATGGGGATTTCACTCACCAGAGAAAAGAGCGAGAAGCACAAGTACCTTCATGATTAGATTTGAGTCTGTGGATTAAGAAAGTGATTTACCATTAAAAACATGTACAAATGAACATTTTCAGAATCTCTTGAGTCATGAAAAGTGATAATAATTATAAAATGTTTTACCTTGCAGAGTTAGATTGGCTCTTCTTCTCTCTGTGTCTGGGGATGTGTGTCGTTCAGGCAGCTGTTAACCGTTTTTATAGTCACATTTAAGGGTAAAGTCCTTCTTCTCCTGCCGTGCTGTCAGATTCTTGTCACTTCATGTCATAATTTATGTGTCACCGTTAGGTTGCTGCTATCTGGATTCGTTATGTAATGGTTGACATCATTGAAATGGCTCTTCATGCAATTATTAAATGTGGAAAAAGGCTGTTAATATTCAACAAAGGTGTAGTAAATATTGTTTACTAGAAGTTTTTAACGCTCCTGTGAGGAGAGTTTAGCTGGTTATGAATCTGGTCTTTACATGGCAAACAATAACAAACGAGACAATGAGTGAGAAGATTAGTTATTTCTTCATGGTTTTTTATTAGGCTGATTGTAGCTGAGGAGATTAACAGCCGCCTGCTAAAATAGACTTAATTTTAGAGGGGACATTATATGAAAAATTCACTTGTAACAGTGTTTTTGAACATATGTTTGGGTAACCTGAGTGTCTACTGACCCAAAAAATGTGAAATAAACCTATCCAGTCCTTTGTTTGTGGTCTGCATAAGTCTTACAACACAGAGAAAAATGCTCCGTTGCGAATTTGCTCTCCTTGTGATGTCACAGGGGGATTCTGGTAAAAAAAAAAAAAACCCATCCACCCATAGACTCCACCCCCAGCCTAGAGCAAAACTTTTGCACAGTTTGCCATTATTTTTCTCGCTACAGAGGAGTGATGTCTACCAGGAAAACTCAGAGGGGGGCTCATTGCATTTAAAGAGACACACACACCAAAACGGAGCGTTCTGAGAGGGCTGGTTTATACAGGGTCACAAACCTCCTCTGGTGCTTGATTCATGTTATATTTTGAGCAAAGCACAGCACAGATGTTTCATTTAGACCACAGGGGGACTGTTTGAGAAGGTGGAGAAGGGGGTAATATGTCCTCTTTAAATAAGCTTCCCCTTTCTTGTTTCTTTTGTCATGTTCCTAAAAACCAGTGCTCCCCAATGTGAATAACAAGGAAACCCAGATTTCATTACATCATAGTTTATGAAGAGATTTGCTGAACTTATCTGTGTGGGGAAATAAACGATGAGCGGGTGTTTATAGAGGCCTAAAGTGGACATGTCACTGGGAAGAGTTTACATAAGCATAAATCTGTACGATGTGTTCTGCATTTTTGGTGACACGGCTTAAATTAAAGATACTCAAATAACATGTAATAAACAGTAGGACATCTCAGCTCTATCTGCCTCTCTTCATAATTCTGTCTCAAGGTCCTGGTGTGCGTCACAGCGGCGGGATGTTTATCAGTAAGTTTGTCCGGAGAGGCAGACTTTAGCTCCTCTGTGTTATCACACAGTGTCCAAGGAATCACTGTATAAGGACACATCCCATTCCTGCGTATAAAGATAATCTGCAGGTCAGATGGAACGACTGGATCAAAGTCCTGCTCTCATCTCACTGACCTATAAAACGTCTGTTACTTGTGTATCGGCAGAACATTTAAGTCAATCAAGCGTGTGTCTCTGAATGAGCTAATCAGCGGAAAACAAAGCAAGTTTGTCACAACGGGTAGAAATAGTTGAAACCTCCCGATCTTATCTGCTTTCATTTCTAACTCTGAGTAGTTACAACTCGTCAGTTTTCAACTTGAATTGAATCTATCTTTTTTTGGCATTGCTATAAAAACAGCAAAAAACTGTTTCGCAGCTCTTGTAATTGGCAGCAAGAGACAAACACAGGAGTGATAAGAATGTAAAGACAATCATTAAGACCATCATAAAAACACAATTTAAAAAACACTGAAGTCTAAAAGCAGATGTCAGGTTCAATAATCAATCAACAGTAGGGCAACTTGTATTTGTTTTATACCATAGTGAGGATTTTTTTACTCATTTCAGTATATTTGAATGCTGTCATACAGATTCTGATGCAGTTTATTGATGCACTGGTTTTGTGTGATTCTACGGAAGCCCTAAAAGGACATAAATCCCGATTGTATTATGGCTTACCCATTTTGATAAGGATGAGAATTATGCATAATTATGGGCGTGACAGAACTGACGTCCATGTTGTAGCAGTTTGTCAGGAGGCTTAAAGGCCTCTCTCAGCTCTGTGCCAGTCGTTAGGTTAACAGAAAGTTTAATAGTCAACATATCCAATATGGCAACCGCCATGGATAAGCTTCCAAAACAGCCCTTCAGAAACCAATGGGTGACATCGCTCTAGCGTTGTAGCCTTACAGTCTATGGTATAAAAAGCTGCATCTGTTTTAAGTCATGCTAACACCTCTAAGGATGCTAACGTTGGTCGTGTTTCCACTTTTGTCACAGCTGATATATATCCC